TTGAATTGAATTGAATTGAAACAATCTGACAATCACGTCTGACAAACACTTCTTATGTATCAGAAACAAAGTGCGACATCACGAATACCTTCAAAGAGAGAAAGATTTAAACGAGAACCAGTGGATGTTTGGCAACTTATCCTCAAACAAATATTTTATTAATCTATTTGTCGATCAACACAAAATTAATCAGCAACTATTTTGATAACTGTTCAATAGTTTCAGTCATTTTTCAAGAAAGAAAAAAAAAAAAAAAAATCACATAACAGTCATTGGTTCCAGTTCCTCAAATATCAGGATTCGCTGTGTTATTTTTGAATAAATTATATTTTAATTAAGTTTAATATTTGTGTTTTGTCTGATAAAACAAGGAATCTGAAGATTGCTCTTCTTATGCTTTATGGACAAAACCGATTAACAGAATCGATTATTGGTTAAAGACATAATATATAATAATGACAACAGTTTCAGCCCTTGTAGAAACTCTTTGACTTACAATCTACCACCAATGAAGCAAACTGAGGCTTTACAAACACACACAGGGCAGTTAACAGGACTATATCTTAATTTGTCTCACTCTGTGGTTCTAGTGACGACGGCGGTGCTTTGCTCCTCCTCTTCCTCCTGCTCTTCCTCCTCCTCCTCGTCCTCTGAGCTGCTGTCATGGAAACGTGGGTCTTGTTGCCATGACACCTTTGGCGCCTGGATGCTCTCTACCTTGTACTCTGCTGGCAGAGAGAGAAGACATAAAGATTTAAAATGGGGAGAAAACAAATCTTCCTTTTGAGACTGAGTTAAATATCGGAGATCTGACTCACCCGTCTCTCTGCTTCCTGTTTCTGTGTCGTCTTCAAAGAAGGAGAACTTGAACCCAGACGACTCCTCTTTCTCTGCGCCGGGATCAGCTGAGAGGAGAGACGACAGCGGGGTCGGGTCTTCATCCTTCCCTCCTTCCTCCGCTTTCTCCTCTTCCTCTTCCTGGTCCCAGTTCGCCTTCTCTTGTCCTCCGGCGGCGTCATCTTTAGTCTGACTGAACACGGCCTTCAGATCACCAGACACGTCGTAGTAAATCTCCTTAGAAACCTCGGGAAGCTTCTGAGCCTCTTCCCTCTTCTTCCTCCTGGCTGCCTTGCTGTGAAGACAAAAGATCACGTGACAGTTTTACTGGAAGTGTAGAGCTGATAATGTGGTCAGGATAGAGTAAACATTTTCATTGGTACTTCAGTGATTCTTCTATGTGAAGACTTTAAATTCAACTAAATATGATACAATGCACATCAATATATTATTTATAAGGTGGGTGGGGATATCTGGAACATATGAGTGGGTTTAAATCTGAACTGAAAATACTGTATCACTATCAATGACAATGTTTCTTCATCAGCCCTGTTAATGTGTGGTGCGCCACAAGGCTCAATCCTGGGTCCCATCCTGTTCTCTGTATACAGTGGCTTGCATATTCAGAAAGCTTTATTTTTCTGAAACTTTATTGTATTTTATTGAGTTAGAATAGTAAATAAATACAAAAAATGAAAAATAAAATGAAAAAATAAAATATATTTGTATATAAAAAAAATGGCATATATATTTCAGTAATGTTTATAAAAAGGTAGTTTTAGAAAAAAAAATTAGACTTTTTAAAGGTTTAAATCTTGAGTATAATTTAATGGGTTTGGGGCTAAGTGGAACATATTGAAAGACAGACCTTTCATGGAATTTGCTCACAATAAAAAAAAAAAAAACCCAGAACATTGTCTTAACCTTTAATGTGCATCGTCAAGTCTTATCTGGTGAATAAGTTCAGTATCGATACTGAAACCGACTCAGCAGATTGGATAATTTAGTTTTCCATGTTCGTACCTTTCTTTGATTTCATCAGTTTTGGTCTCAAACGCAGCGTGTTCCTCTCTGCTGGGGTCGTAATGCAGCGCTGAGACGTCTCTGCAAACACACACATTTGATTATTATTTTTGATTTATTTATTATGTGCTCCAGTTCAGAAGTGGCTGCGGTCAAGACTCTGTGCATGTGTGCGAGTGTGCGGCTGACCTGAAGGTCTTGGCCTTGCTGGCTGGCTTGGTGCTGCAGGTTTGTTGGCTGCTGCCGAGGACGCTCTGCAGGATGGACAGGTTCTTCTTCCTCTCCTCCTCCAGAGTCTCGTCATCCTCCATCACGCTCATCTTTCTCTCTGAATCACAAACAGTTGCCTTATTTGTCAGGAAGAGACTCTCACAGGTTTAATTTCAGTGCAAGAACTTAGAAAACATCCAGCAGGACAAAACACAGCGTACACCACAAAGAGCCTCTCACACAGACAGACATCAAACCCGTCAAACAAGACTGGATGTGAATGTAACCATACGTGCTTTGTAATGAGAGATAAATACAAATGTAAGTTGTGTGAGTGAAACGTAAAATCACAATTATAGTCATCCATTAATAAAAAAATGTGTCCTGAAAATTAACCATTGTAGTTAAAACAACAAGATAAAACAAGAGCTGTCTGTATGTTAGGAAAAAAAAATGTCCTGCCTCCTACAGCTTAATGACAATCGTGTGTTCTTCTGCCAAAGAATAAAAACTAATTGATGTAATCGCTTTTCTGCAGACTATGACCAGACTGTACCCTCCAACCCACAGCCTCACCTGACTCCTCCTCTTTGTCCTCGTCGTCCTCCAGGAAGCGCGAGTCCAGCCGGAAACGCTCGTCTGTCCCGAAGCGAGACTGCAGCTCCATCAGCTGGAAACACAACAAACAAACAAACAAACCAACATCAGAGGCAGGCGCCCAATCACAGCACTCAGCTCCTCCATTACGATATCTTCAGACATGTACAGTTTCCACAGAATGAACTCTCGTGACTTTGCTGATCCTCTGACTTTAAGCACCTTTAGCTTTTTCTTAAAGGTCAAATCATTTCAGTTCTACACAACATGAGGCTCTTTTCTTTCTTCCTTGAGACAAGATGTGATCCCGACTTTAAATGGAGGGAATTGTGGATTTAAATGTTATACATACATACATACATACATACATATAATTATAAAACAATGTACAGAGCAGCACTGTGCGAACTCCTTTTCTCACCTTCTGTCCTGCTCGACCTTCAAACTGAGGCCTGATGTCAAACCTGCTCCCATCCTCCTCTTCGCCATCCTCCTCGTCCTCCTCCTCCTCACTGCCGTTGAACAGCTGAGGAACTGATGGCTTCAGACGCACCTGACCCCACACACACAAACATCATCCATAAAAATCTTCCATCTCTTCATAATTAAACGTAATAATAATAATAATAATAATAATGATAATAATGAGTAAATGCAAGTATTTACATACATTCAACTGATATTTAATATATAATAGATTAGTAACTCTTCCTCACCTTTTCTTTCATTGTGCCGTTCTGATTGGCTGATGCCTCGTCACCTGTGGCCTCGCCCTCTGATTGGCTGTCCTCGAACAGCGTCTTCTTTGACGTTGTGACCTCTGAGGTTGTCTGCTGCTCCTCTTCGTCATCCTCGTCATCATCAGAGCCAAAGACGATGTGTTTCCCTGCTCCTGCAGTCGGAGCGTCCTAAAGTAGATTAAGATTCTGTTTTAAACACAACTGCAGATGGATCCGTACGTGACAACAAGCACTAACAAGTACTCAGTAGAGCCAATGAGAGGTTTTAATGCGTCATTCTAATGCAAACCTAATAAATCTTGTTTCTTCAAATTTATTTAAAAAGTTACTTCCTAGTTAAATAAAGGTTATATACAATAATTCATAATATCTTTTTAAATCAGTCAAACACTGACAGTCTGATCTGATCCTCACAAACACGGAACACATTCTGCACCCACCAGCTTGGCTAAAGCTCCCTGGATGAGCTTCTTGTGCTCTTCAGCCTCCTTCTGTCTCTGCTGGACGGCAGCCAGCCGCCTCAAGTTGGCCTGCCTCTGCCGCTCCTCTTCCTCCTTAGCTCCTAAGGGCACCCGAGGAGGAGCCCGCTTTTCTTCCTCTTCCTCTTCCTCCTC